CGACAGAGAAATCTTTCATGAAAGGAAGAGTCAGTGTGGCCAACTTCACGGTTGTCTTAAGAAATTGCCACAGCCACCACCCTGATCAGGCAACAACCGTCGACTTCAGAAAAGGCCTCCACCAGCAAAATGACGACTCGCTACAGGCTCAGATGACCCTTATTTTTTTAGGAATAAAGTATTTTTTAATTAAGTTACATATATATCTTTTTAGACATAAGGCTATTGCACACTTAATAGACTACAGTATAGTATAAACATTTATATGCACTGGAAAACCAAATATTTGCCTGACTTGCTTTAGTACAGTGTTCATTTTATTGTGGTACTCTGGAACCGACCCTGAAATATCTCAGGTGTAACTGTACCGGGGATGTTGGAGGGCTTGGGGAGTAGCTGCAGCTTGAAGTCACACCAGTAGGCTGGACTGGCACATCTGAGCAGTTTTGCTTAATTGCTATAAACAGCAACCTAGTGAGAGGCTGCATGCTTGCCCTACACGTTTTAGAAAAATGTCACATGAGCCTCATAGTAAATTACATCTCTATGAACTTATACAGACTCAACACTCCTGCTTCTTAAGAAGTAAGGTACCTAGAGTCCAGCAGGCCAGTGTTTCCTCTGACAACAACTAGAAAAAAAAAGAAACAGATAAATTCAATTTAAAGGCATCAGAGTGCCACAGAAATGACAAAAGACTAGAGGGACTAAAATTCCAGAGAGGTGAGGACCACTCAGATGACAGTTGGCAGCTTTATTCTCTCTTGGGAGCGTTTGCCGATTCCGGGTGCAGGCTGCAGGTTGGGGCTTGGCCCCAGTGGAGGGATGCTGCCAGGGGAAAGAGAAACCAGCAGAGAATTTAGCAGTTGTACAGGGCTGGAGTGACAAAATTGGACATTTGAGGAGCTGCAAAGCCACGGCTGGCTTTCCCATGAGACATTTGCTGAATTCCAGATCTGTGCCAGAGTGTGAAGAGTGGGGCTGCATGTTTCTGAGAGGCAGAGTGCATTTTCCTCAAATTTACAGTGCATAGAAAGAAAGACCTGCCAAGGAATTAAAAAAAAAAAAAATTCAGACGTGAAAGCCCCAAAGAGTGGGGAACTGACCCTGAAGACCTGAGCACTTCTGTTTCTAGGAGCAGCGAGAGGCCACTCCCTGGGAAAGGCTGATGCTGGCAGAGAGAGACCAGCAGAGACTTCGATATCTACGTGTGGCTTGAGTGACAAAACGGGAGACTTAAGTGGATCCAAACACATGGCCAGTTTCCTCTTCGAGACTTACCAGATTTTGAAGATGCGTGCTTTGGAAAGGCTGCAGAACTAAGCCGAAAATCCCTCAAAGACAGTCTTTCAGGGCCGAGGAAATAAAGACCTGCTAGGCTCTCAACTGAAATTTCTGAAGATCCTGCCCTAAACACGGGTGAGCCAGAGGTAGACTGGCCCTACCAGAACTGAAACCTAGCCCTCAGCCAGCTCTGCTCCTGAATGAAGTCAGGATTCTCCGTCTACCCTACTTGCCCAGCAGGGAAAGGGAAAACGTCTGCTGGTGGATGATAACGTGGAGCCTTAACAATTCTTTTACACCCATTTTCAACATACCGTAAAAAAATCACTTGGGAAATAAAGCTCTTTAGAAATCGTGGGGTGAGGGAAGAGGGGATGAGTAAATCCATACCTAACCGGTACAATGCACACTTAACTTTGACTCACATTGTACAAAAGCAATTTATGTAACAAAAACATTTGCAACCCTATATACTCTGAAATAAAACTAAAAATTACTACACATAAAACAAGACCATATGCCTAGAGTCAAGAGGAAAAAAGAAACCCAGATAATAGAAATGGATCCAATGACGATCCAGATGTTAGCATCAAGGATTTTTAAATAACCATGATTAATATATTTAAGGAAATAGAGGGGAACATAGACAAAATAGATGAAAGATTATCTCCAGAGATGTAGGATTTTTTTTTTTTGAAAAAGAATCAAATGGACATAGAACTGAAAATACAATGTCTGGAATTAAGATCTTGGTGGATAAGTTTAACAGCAGATTGGATACAGCAGTAGAGGCAGGATTAGTGGACTGAAAGATGGGTCAATAGAAAATACCCAAATTGAAGCTGAGAGAAGCAAAAATTGGGAATGGGGAGAAATAGGAAATAATTGAGTGTAAAAACATCTAACATTCAAAAGGTCTCTTGTGTACGTATTTAGAGTTCCAGAAGGAGAGGCAAGGAGAGAGAATGAAGCAGAAACCACCTTCATGGAGAGAATGGTTAAGAATTTTCTGAAAACAGGGGATGAGTTCACAGATCTGAGAAGCTGAATGAACCCCTAACCATGATAAATAGGTTTAGCTCTTGAAATCAGTTAATCATTGCTTCCTGAGTAATATATACGTTATAATCTTTTTAACCATTTATTACTTTCATGATCTGAACAAAATCACTTGACCTCCTTGAGCTTCAGTTTCCCCATCTATAAAAATGGGGATTAGACAAAAGACTATATGAAAAAGTGCCTTGGGAACTGTTAAGTTTTAAAGAAATACCAGGGTGCATCACTGTTATTGTTCTAGCTTCACTGACTCTGGGACAACCTGTTGGGGTCAGCCTCTATCCACTGCCTTTTACGAGGATTTGGGAAATGGGACCAACTGACCCAAGGCAAAGGTCTGCAGGGAGGCAGTAGCAAGATTTAAAATGATCAAATCTTGTGTGGTCATTGCTTTGCCCTCCCAGGATCCTGGTAGGGCATTGAGAGATGACCAGGGTTGGCTTTCTGGGATCATGGAATCCACTCTGCTCCAGCTCCCAGCCACAGGCCTTTCCCAGGTCTTCCTTGGTTCCCCCTTAGCAGTAGCGCCCCAGGCTGAGACTGAATCCCACCAACCTCTGAGGTCCTGGAAGCTTTCCCCTCTTCTAGCCTGTGGGGTAGATCTGTGTTTTCCACATCCCACTCTCCTGCCCCCATTTCTTGATAGTGTCCAGTGATAGCAGGCAGAGCTCTTTACTGTGTTGATTTAGTTTCCCAGATGGAAATTATTTGATAAATTGTCCTAACTGACATGGGCATTGATGTTACGGAAGAGCTATCATAGAAAGGACAAGCCCTTGGACTACGGTGGGTGTACGTCAGTGCTTTGCAGATGGGGGAGAGAAGAGAGGTGATAAGACTATGGTCTTTGTGTTTGGAATGAGAAGCCTCATGATATAGAAGTTCACAGTGCACGTTTTGGAGTCAGACAAGTGGGTTTTATCTGTATGCTCCGCTGTTTTCCAGCTTTGCTATGTTATAACACTTTGAGCAAGTTACTCTTACCTTTCCTGAACCTCAGTTTCTTCCCTGAAATGAAGGAATAGTCATATGTCCTAGGCTTATTGTGAGGTTTAAGTGAGCTAATGTAGGTAAGGCACTCAACTGTTCGGTAAATAGTAGTTGCTGCTATTAATACTCTAAAAATTATTTTACCAGCTAAACTAAGGTTTATTCTTAAACGAATGCCTCATAAAATTCAGTAGACTGATATATTAATGACACCTCTGTTATTAGTGACAGCTATAACTCACTGTCTAGATCTCCTTATTAAGGTAAGGGTCTGTATCTGGAAGTCTGTCCTTTAGCAAAAAGCTACCTGAACTTCCTACCAAGGAAAGCCAGGCCTATGCCATTCAAAGACAGTTTCCTCTTCCCTGTTCTATCAGTTAAAAGGAAACTGTTCTGAGATGTTGAAAATAAACACAACTTTAATAAGTAAAATTGCTGGTAGATCCATCCTTTAGAATATTTGCTTAGATTATTGCTGTTCCCTGCTCAGATTACCTGATGAAGAAACAGCCTGTGGTTTTTGCCACCCCTGCCCTTAAGTAAACATCCAAGAATCCTTTATTTCCAAGGATATTTTTCCTGAGTGTTTCTTGGAGTCATAGGGCTTCCAGTGCTTTCTGCCCACGTAAGCCTTGGGTTGATATTCTATGACTCATATCAATAGTTCTGATGATGATCTACTTGTCTCTGCCTTCTTCCTGACTACCTGCAACTTGAAGACCAGGAATCTTGACTCATCCCATCTTTGTATGTAACAGAATGTCTGGCATATAGTAAATGCTCAGCAAATGTTTGTTGAATGACTAAATGTACCATGTGCTGGATATCATCCGTTTACCCCTCCAGATCCATTCTCTACCCTTCTTCGCCCCGCTCTGGTCTCTGAGAGGCTGACCTGCAGATGCATCGGTGGGCTCCCAGGTGCTCTGACTTCTGGCTGGGTTTGGCCAGTGGCAGATGGAGATCAGAGGGGAGATGGGAGGGTATTTGATCCCCTGGCTCCCCATCCTGTGCTGCTGTGGGGACCTCTTTTCAAGGCAGCTGCTCTACATGTCCCCGCCCCCCAGGCTCTGTAGCCTCTCCATCCCTCATCCTTTGGGACCATGGAGTGTGGTGCCAGCTAGCACCAGGTTCCTGCACCACCCCTTATAGTTTCCTTGTACCCTGCTCACATGTGTAGAATTAGTCTCTCTGTCAGTTAACCCCTACAAATTACCCTAACTGGAGCGTACCTGCTCCATCCTAGTGGGAAGCAGCAGGCCCCAGTTGCTTATGGAGATTTCGAATTGTTTGAGCTAGATACTGGGGCTCTGGGCATTTAAAAAAAACGACATAGTGCAGTTCTTCAGAGAATGTGGGACATGGCAGCTTTGGGGAGATAAATAGCAGTTTTAGAACTATTCTGTGCTTAGGAGAGACTTTCTCCCACAGATAGTGTGTAAGACCTTATTTTAGCCGGCTGTCTTAAGTCCCTGAAATTGCCCCTTACGTGGCTGTGTATCTGACTCAGCACGGGATGTGCCGGAAGAAGAGCTCTCAGGGCGGAATACGACGAGGCGGAGGACGGGTGCTGTAAGCGCTGAGCTTTGACAACAGAAGACTTAAGGAGTGGCTTTGGTGTCTAATTCAATGTTTTAATTTCCACATTTTGGGCTGTTTTCCCGCAGGTGATCATAAACAGCACAATCACACCGAATATGACTTTCACCAAAACGTCGCAGAAGTTTGGGCAGTGGGCCGACAGCAGAGCCAACACGGTGTTTGGTTTGGGGTTTTCCTCTGAGCAACAGCTGACAAAGGTAACGTCCTTTCCACGGCACAGTAAGTGCCACGCCGGGCGCTGTTCTCGTTCCGTAATCGCCACTGAGGGAGGGTGCTCTTGGTGAGCGGGATTCCTTGATAGTCTTCAATTTCACCCCGTCTGGCCCCGCAGGGCTGCTGGAGCAGGTGCTCTTCTCAGAACCCCAGACTCTTGGGGAGTTGACAGTTGCCCAGTGCAGACTCGGCTGCTTGGGTTCCTGGTATATACTGAGGACGACTTTCAAAGAAGAGAAATTAGGGTGAGTCAGGCAGGAAGCCATCTCAACAGGGGCCTGCTGAGGTTCCTTGAAGACTTTAGGGGAGGGAAATTCACATCTAACAGATGCTGCTTTGGGGCCTGAAGTTGGAGCATGAAGGAGCCACAGAGCGGGTCCTTCCTCCCCTCCGGGTGCCAGCCACTGCTCTGTGCCAGCTGAGTAGGCATGCACACCGAGGGGCTGGCTTGTTTGCTGCAACCAGGTCGACTGGATTTTCAGGACTCTGAGGGTTAGGTGGCTTTCCCGTGTGAGGGCACAGTTGTTGCAGAGTTGTTACTTTTTTTTTTTTTTTTTTTTTTTTTTGAGACAGAGTCTCACTGTGTTGCACCGGCTAGAGTGCGGTGGCATCAGCCCAGCTCACGGCAACCTCAAACTCCTGGGCTCAGGCGATCCTTCTGCCTCCGCCTCCCGAGTAGCTGGGATTACAGGTATGCACCACCATACCCAGCTAATTTTTTCTATTTTTTAGTAGAGACGGGGTCTCAATCTTGCTCAGGCTGGTCTTGAACTCATGAGCTCAAATGATCCACCCGCCTCGGCCTCCCAGAGTGCTAGGATTACAGGTGTGAGCCACCGTGCCTGGCTGAGAGTTGTTACTTTAAGACTTCCAAGGAAAAGACAGTGTTCCCACTGCCAGTGGTGCGTCTTGATGAAATGAGCGTGTTACGTCTTTGAAAGGATGGTGCGGTTTGTATTTTGTCTCTGACAGCCACCAAAGTCTGTGACCCTGGCTGGAGCCCTTACAGAGTAAGGTGATGCTCATAGGGGTCTTAGCCCAGAGTTCTCATACCCCTTCAAATGCCACACTGTGTTGTGTTTCTTTTTCCTAGGGAGAGGATTCACAGCTTTGATTCGATTTTCTGTGTGGTCCAGGACATAACCTGTGGGTGGTTGAAGGTGTTTAGAAATCATGGTTGGCCCACAGACTCAGAGAACCCCAGGAACCAAGGGAACAAACTGATCGCCCCAGCAGTTTGAGGGGCTAAAGGCCTGTCTTTTAGGGGGTGGAGGAGCCATGTTGAAGGTATTAAGAATATTTTGGCTTCAAGTAAGACTGGCTAGTTTACATGACAAAGAAACATATTGGAAGAATGTCAGAGTATCTCAGGGAATCCAAGGGAGACTTGGAAATCTAGGCCTCAGGAGGGACTGAAGCCAGGCTGGCTTCCAGAAGCTTGGCTCTCTGAGTTGTTTTTCTCTAGACAATTCCTGTAAACACCTGGCTGGCTGGCCAGGCACGTGTTTAGCGAGCTCCTGACACTGGGCTGGGCACTGAAGATGCGGAGACGTACGTGGTCCCTGCTCCCAGGGGCTTCACAAAATCCCAGGTTCTTGGGGAGTTGACAGAGTTTCCCGGTACAGACTCAGCTGCTCGATTTCTTGTATATATTGAGGACAGTGTTCAAAGAAGGGGCCTGCTGACTTGCACCCTTCATCTGTTCAGCGTGTGCGTGCGTATGCACAGTCATAAACATGTACACACGCTGCTGAGGAGGCCGCAGCAAGCAGATCCAGCCATCCTACACCCAGTCACAAATGAGCTTTGCGGTGGGGACACCCCACAGACTGTCCTCCTCTGCATCCTAAGATACTTCCATGAGGACTCTGTTCCCTTAGAAGCTTGAGAAACCCAAAACGGGCTGGTGGCACTCTGAGCGCCCATTCCCGTGCCACCCTCTCTCAGAAGCATTCTTTCCTGGGCGCTAAAAGCTCCAGAGCGCCAGGGACACATGGCGGGGAGCAAACATTAGGAGGGTCGGTCATTGGATGCAGTCAGGGGATCTGTCCTCTCCAGCCCTGATCCCTCCATCCCTGGACTTGTGCACCGTGACTCTGGAAGATGTGACATTCCAGCAGGCATGGGCACAGCAGAGTTCCGCAGGACCTGCCGCATTTGGCTGATGCAGTGCAGTACGCAGGAGGACCTGAGAGTCCTGTGGCAGTTAGACTCTTGCTTCACTTCGTTTGCAGGGAAGTGAGTTCCCTGCAGCCTCAGTTGGTTTGAAGCAGTGCTGTGTGGTGTAGAGAGCGTCAGGTAACTATGGATAGCGGAGCCGGAGAGAGACAGCGGGCCACAGTGGCCTTTCTGGGGAGGACAGATCTCTGCTCCCCTGGCAGCAGGGGCCTGGCGTAACAAGCTTTCGCCAGGGAGCGGGCTGGGCCTCAGAGGCGCAGTGCCGGGTGGGGGGCTCTGTGTTGGCTGCTGGACCTCGACAGGGCTGAGTCGGGGTGGCCGTGGCGAGCGTGAGCGTGTTTTCAAGGCCATGGGGCACTTTTACCCCTGGCGCGGTGGCCAGTGTGCCCATAGATCCTTTGAGCAAGTACTAGGCTGCCGGGAGGAGGCGAATGACGGGGTCACCCACAGGACAGCCTTTCCTGCGCCTGGTTTGAAAGATCCTCTTGTGCTTGAAGGGTAGGGACTTCTGAAGGGCGCTCATGTGGAACACGAATATTTTCATTAACATTGCCATTTCCCAAATCTCGTCGTCATTTTGTTTCTTCCTGGTCCCTTCCCATGCAGCTAGGCACTCAGCCATTTCCCCGGGCTTCTGTGTGGGTCCCAAGTCCGCTGCCTCTCCCGTGCACGGGGTGAAGTCCCAGGCCACAGTGCGGGTCGCCCTCTCGCGTCGCCCTCCGACAGCAGGAGCAGCTGAGTGGAATCACAGCTCAGTTCGGTCCGTGAGGAAGCCCCGGCGATTCGCTCTAGATGGGGCGCCGGGCTTTGCAGCATGTGGGAGGCTGCCAGAGACAGAAGGCCTCGGAGGCCCCGCAGTGCTTCTGGACTCGATCCTTTGGCCTGATGGGGTTTTCAGCCTAGAAGGAAAATGATCAGATTTGCATTTTAGGTAGATTTTTTTTTCCTGGCAGCAAGTCAGATTAGAATGTTTTAGTCCAGGGTAGAGCTGATGAAGGGTTGAGTAAGAGTTGGAGGGACTTAAAAAATACTGAGGGAGCACTCTGGGAGGCCAAGGTGGGTGGATCATTTGAGCTCAGGAGTTCAAGACCAGCCTGAGCAAGAGTGAGACCCCATCTAAAAATAAAAAGAAATTAATTCACCAACTAAAAATATACATACAAAAAATTAGCCGGGCATGGTGGCACATGCCTTGTAGTCCCAGCTACTCAGGAGGCTGAGGCAGAAGGATTGCTTGAGCCCAGGAGTTTGAGGTTGCTGTGAGCTAGGTTGATGCCATGGCACTCTAGCCCTGGTGGCAGTGAGACTCTGTCTCAAAAAAAAAAAAAAATATATATATATATATATATGAGCTAAATTGGCAGAACTGGGTGGGCGATGAGGGCAGAAAGGCTCGGGTGGTGACAGGTGGGAGGCTGAGGCCGCTTCCTGAGATGGAAGAGGAACAGGTGCTGAGGGGAGCAGGTGTGATGGCAGCTTGTTGAACAAATGACGAGCTGGAGCCTCGGTCTGAGGTGGGCAGTGGGGTGTGTGGCTTTCCCTCCTGCAGATCCCCCTCCCCTGCCGAGGGGCCCATGCTCTCACCTGCCTCACGTCCAGATGAACAGAGACGGTCCTGCCAGGCCCTTCTTGGTCACATGCTGCTGACCCTGCCCAGGGCTGGGAGTTCTTCCCTGAAGCCCAGGACAGTTAGAGAGAATCACTCACAGCTGCCTGGAACAGTTTCTTCAGTCTTCGGAGGAATCCAAGTTGCTAGGAAGGATAAAGGGGGAAAGTTTCTATGAAAAAAAAAAATTGAAAGAAGGGAGAACTCCAAACAAAAACCAGAATACATTGTTCAAGTTCAATTCTTTGTGCCTCTGAGGACTGGAGAGACCTTGAGCTGTGTCTGCTTCCCAGGATGGCCACTTCTGATTTTCCCCAGAAAATCAGAGGAAAATGTCCTATCATTAAGGAGGCGTGTCCCATCTTCCTGAGTCGCCCGGCCAAGGCTGCAGAACCAGAGTCCCCGCTGCGTGACTGTGACCTGCCACTGTCACCGAGACTTCTCACATAAGCCCTCAGATGTCTCCTTTGTCCAAAATGTTCCAAATCAACTCTTCCCCTTCTCTTTGAAGGGAACTGTTAACCACACGCGGACACAAATTATCTTGAAGTGAGGTTGGCAGTCTTGACAAGTAGCAATTAGCACAGAGGAAATCGCCCAAAGGGATCCCAAGGAGTGTGCTAAGGGGACAGTGAGGCTGTGAGTGTTCCTGCCCTCCCTGAGCCGCCACCCCAGGCCTGTAGGGCAATTGGGAACCAAACACTACAACTAGCCTAGGGAAGGGAACACCAGTGTGGGCATTTTCATTTAAGAACCCTTTGCCCATCCTTCTCTCTCTACCTCCCGGAAGGAAAGTAGACGCCTTGGTCTTCGCTGATGCCATTAGAAGGACTATTGCTCAACCGCAGTCCAGCAAGCATTGCAGGGCAGCGTTCTGCTCTTGAGAGAAGCTTTCCAAAAATAATAGAAGCTGTGTATTCCCAGAATTAAACTGGGACTCGTCTGTCTACCCACCGGAGAGGACATCCTACCTCAGCCTGCTGCAGAGTGTTGAAAAGGGACTTGCGTGTTCTGATAAAAGAGCTTATGAAAAGGGACAGGAGGGAGAGCCAAATGTAAGAACGAAATGTTGAAGTTTAGATTCTTTCTGGCATCTGACCTGAGTTGTCGCTGTTCTAAGACGGAGGAAATGCTTTCTGCCATTACGAGGGAAGGGTCCGGGATGGTGTTGCTAGTGCTATGTGGTGGACCTGCCTACACCCTGATACACACGCGGCGTTTGCTTTTTTGGTGGGGGGGGGGGAGAGATTTTTATTACTTTGCCGGCAAAAGAGGGAAAATGACAGACCTTCTCGTCTCAAAATCCAAATTTCCTTGGTATTTGCTTTTGACCCATTTCAGTGATTTCATCTGTAATTCAAAATTGTCCCCTTACGTTCACTTCATTAACTCAGGTAGTTGTAAGAACTTTGTTCTATCATCTACTTTTCTGCCTCCTGATTTAAGGGGCCAGTCTTTTTTAAATGGGGGTATTAATCGTTCTTTTGATAGATTTTAGTTAGGATGCTTTGGGCTGCAGGTGACAGAGAACCTAATCACAGGGCTTAAACAAGTGGGGTTCTTCTCTTGCAGGAGAGAAGTCTTGGGGCAGGTGGCTGCTGGCGTTGGGACAGTGGCTCCCTGACATTGGTTCTGAGGTGTGGGTTCTTTCTGCATAATTTCGTTTCTCTTTTCTTTTCTTGGCCTTTCCCTAATGACAACGAGATTGTTTCTCAAGCTCCATCCATCACATTGGCATTCTGGGGAGGGGAGGGTGGAACGACAGCACCTTCTTTGGAAACTGCCCCAGCAGTTGGGTCCCATTATTAACCCCAGTCCCTTGGCTGTCCCCACCACTGCCAACCCCCGCCAAAAAACAAACAAACAAAAAAACCAGGGAAATGGGTCACCATGATTGGCTTAAACCAGCTCTCATTCTCCAGCAACTAGGGAATTTCCTGCCACAGGTAAATTTGAGGTTCTATTAAATTAAGCAAAAAGAAAAACGGATTTTGAATAAGCAAACAGTAGAGTCTGCTGTAGATCCTCAGTGGCCAAGGCCAAACAAAAGCTACAAATAAAATCAAGCAATAATGGTCTTTCATTTTCTATCAGGATAATAATGGTGATTTTTATTAAAATTATCATCACAACTTTAAAAACTACAGAAAATGACCTTAATAAATAAAGACATGAGAATTTGGCAATGTATTTCAGAAACCTTGTGGTTTGAAAATCCTTGGATCTGTGGGTTTCATTTATAGGAATCTACTATAAGGAAATAAACATAACTGAGAACAAAGATTTGCTACAAGGATTTTCCTTGCAGCATCATTTATAACAGCATGAAAAAAAGAAAAGAAAAAAGAGAAACAATCTAAATGTCCAGCAGTAGGAAATTGGTTAATTAAACTCTAGTATGTCTTCAGGGTAATGTTGCATAGCAATTAAGAAAGATAATGTAGTAGAAAATCATATAATTTCACACAAGTATTAATGTCATATCGTTAATTTCAAAAGAGGCTATAAAGTGAAGTATACAGTATTGTTCCTTTTATTAAAAGACATATATAAATGGATGCACACATACAGATAGAAAAATGTCAGAAGTTTGTGTGCTTAGTGCTAATCTCTGGGTGATGGGACTGTAGGTTTAAAAACATCTTTTTTTCTAAACTGTGTTTTCCAAATTTATAAGCATACGTGCTATGTTTTTATAAAAAGGGAAATTCTAGAAAACTTAAGACTTGGAGGCAGGGGATTTGTTATCAAAGACCAGTCACTTGGCAGCCCATGACATTGGCTCTTTTCTTCTCACAGGTGGAGGCTAGAGAGGTAGTGTTCTGTGTGTCCTCCCAGGGTGCTCTGGAAGCTTCCAAAGTTTTGTTATTGTAGATAAGGATGGAATGAACATCTTCATATTGAAGGCCTTTTTTTTTGTCCCTGTGTTCTCAGTCATTTTCACAGAATAGTTTCCCAGAAGTGCTATCACTGGGTCAGTAGATATGAACATTTCTTTTCGCTTACAATACACATTTCCATGTTGCTTCTCAGCCAGGCTGTGCCAATATATAACCAGGAATCTCTCGCCAGCACCAGCTATTGTAGTTGCCTTTAGTGTTTGCTAATTTAGCAGACAAACAATGGTGCCTCATTAGTTTGATCTGCATTTCTAGCTAGGCAGAACGATCTGTTCTACAAGTTGTTTAGCTATTGTATTTTTTATTCATGAATTTGCCATTTATCTATTGAGATTTTCATATTTTTACTTTTGGTTTATATAAACTCTTTCTGTACTAAATAAAATAACACTTCTAATTGTGCTAGCCTAGCTCTGGATATTGTCCCCAGGCTCTTGTTTCCTTGCTGGTTTAGTTTTTCTTCCCTTTTCTATTCAAAGGCTTTAAATTGTTATGTAGTCAAGTCTGTCACTTCTGTGATTTTTCTTTTATTTCTTCCAAGTTTAGAAAATTACCCTCCCACCTCTCAAGCAGAAGTTTGATACATGTTCATTTCTGTTTGGATCCAGGTTTTTTTTTCTTTAAATTAGTCTAACAGGGCTGGGCGCGGTGGCTCACGCCTGTAATCCTAGCACTCTGGGAGGCTGAGGCGGGTGGATCACTCAAGGTCAGGAGTTCGAAACTAGCCTGAGCAAGAGCGAGACCCCATCTCTACTATAAATAGAAAGAAATTAATTGGGCAACTAATATATATAGAAAAAATCAGCCGGGCATGGTGGCGCGTGCCTGTAGTCCCAGCTATGTGGGAGGCTGAGGCAGTAGGATCGCTTGAGTTCAGGAGTTTGAGGTTGCTGTGAGCTAGGCTGATGCCATGGCACTCACTCTAGCCTGGGCAACAAAGCGAGATTCTGTTCCAAAAAAAAAAATTAGTCTAACAGCATCCAGACTTTTTAAGGCTTGATTTTTTTTTTTAATCTTAACCCTTTAAGTCATCAATAATTTCTCATGCTATGGGTTTACAGTTAAGGATTTAAATTCATTCCTCCCCCTCTCCCCCAGTTTATTGAAGTTATCTCAATCATATGTTGAATAATCTTCCCCATCAATTTTTCATTCCTCCTTTGTCATAGGTAATTTTTATATAATGCTAAGATCCATTTCTCACCTGTTCTGTTCCATCATACGTCTACTAATACCACATTTTGTTAAATGATTATTTAAAATATATCCAGCAGGGCTTATCCTACCTCATTACATTTTAAGCTTATTGTCTGAAATTTTCTTTTTGATTCTCGCCTCTTTGAATGTAAACAAAATCATCTACAAACTCAGTGTGCCTCTGAGGACAGGAACCAAGTCTTTGACATGATTATTTTTTTATTTCTTGCACAAGGGGTGTGCAAGCCTGGAACCCAGAGTTCATTCATCCTCTGAACAACCTTATTTGTGCCGTGCCTGCTTTCTGCCAGGTGTGGGAGAAGTGTGCAGAGAGGAAAGGTGTGGACTCTGCCATCAGGGAGTTCACAATATGATGTTTTTACTTCAGGGGTCCCCAAAGCCAGGGGCGGGAGAATGACTTTTCCCATCCTCGCTGGACCTATTTTAAGCAACAGGTAATGTGATTCTCCCCTGACAGTCTTGGAAAGGTTAAATGTGAAGCCCTGTGGCTGTGCCGTTATTGACAGGACTGGCAGGAGCTACGCAGGCCAGAACAGAAAGGCTGACCTTTGCTGCTTAGGACCAGGGTGTCTGGTATGTGGCAAGGCTTCCCGAAGCTGACCACGGTTGTCAGAGGATGGCCGGGCTCAGGAATAAATGAGTTCCCAGCAAAACCCACAGACGCGTCAGTAGCCTTGCAACTCACTAGCTTTTTTTTTTGTTTTTTTCGGTTTATAGCAACCACATTTAGCGTTCTCTTGCTTTTTAATACATACCAGCATTATCTATCACAGGCTGTTCTCTGTTCAAACAATAAATTTGCTAATGAAAATCAGTTACCTTGTCAGTGACTGAGCTAGTGATTGATATGGTTGCCCTAGGATTTTAAGAATTTTTATTATAGAAATATTAAAACATTTTAAAAAAATAGTAGATGGCATAGGATAATGAACACTCATATACATGTCACCGAGAACTAACAGTTATTAACATTTTGCCACATTTCTTCATTTATTTTGTTGAACTGCTTTAAATTAGACATATGAAGACCTTTTACCCCTAAACATGAGTATTCATCTCTAAAAAAAAAAAGATATTTTCCCACATAACTACAACATCATTAGCACTTATGACAAAATAATAACTCCTGAGTAGCATCTAATATCCAGTCCATGTTCCAATTCTCCTGTTTGTCCCCAGTAGTCTCTTAGAGTTGGTCTGTTTGGAGTAGGATCCAATCATAAGCTATATGCTGCACTTTACTTTTTTTATATCTTAAGCTTTTAAAATCTAGAGCCATTCTTCCCCCGCCTCCAAACTTTTTGAGTATTTTTCATGACTTCAACTTATAGGAGTTTTTGGATCTTTGCAGCATAGATTTTAAAGTTTTTCATGGATTCCTTTGGTGGTATAGCTACATTTCATTTGTTGCTTTTGTGTTAGTTCATTGAAGGCTTTGGGGTTTGTTTTAATACTTCGTCATCAAACTAGCTTTCGTAGCTTATAAATTGATTCAGGTCTGACCTTGGCTAATAGTGTTTACTGGAAAAAGCATTATTTATGTTCGTTTCTTTTTAATCTCAAATACAATTCTTCTGGATTTATGCAGATTTTATTGGTTTAAATGGATGCAGAATAATGGAGGTGGGTTCAGAATGTCAGCCACGAATAAAGTTAATAAAAACCTTAATTCTCCTTGTTCAGTTTGCAGAGAAGTTCCAGGAGGTGAAAGAAGCTGCCAAACTAGCCAGAGACAAGTCCCAAGAGAAAATCGAGACCTCGAGTAATCATTCTCAGGTAAGAAATGTGTCCACAAAATACGTCTGAGTGGGATCAGTAATCGAGGCTCTTTGTTCCTTGTCACTTTGGGCGAGAAATAGGGAACTTTGGTAGCAGGGCAATTTCAAATTTTCAACTATGAGCCTGATCACAGTGAAATGGACAAGACGTGTTTTTATGAGACTGTTGAATTTTTCAGGATGTGGTACTGTATTTTTGGCAGAAAATGGTGAGATTCGAGTTAATATATGTCTGTGGCCCCGAGAGATGTTCTCTGGTCGCTCTGTTTAAACGCCAGGGGCAAAGCATCATGTTTCTCTGCTCTGGTGGGAGGTGAGCCTAGACGTAGGATGCTGTTCGTAGATGCAGGTACTTGTGTCCATGAGAGGAGATGCAGGTACTTGTGTCCATGAGAGGAGATGCAGGTACTAGTGTCCATGAGAGGGAAAACTTGAGCCAGAGAGTCCTTGTGTCCTTCCAGTTTTAACAAACGTCAGGTAGGAGATGATGCTCCAACAGCTCTGTTTTAGCCAGAGATCTGGCTTTGCCAGGAATTGAGTAGTCTGTTTACTTAAAAGTGTGAGGATTGACTAAAAAGGACCTGTTTTAACCCGAAATAAAAATACCTGTGCTCCTGATGTCTAGATTAGTGTATGTGATGGTAGGGGAAGGCCTGACCTAGTGACAAGGTCATATGTAGACAGACAAGGAAAGGGGAGACTTAGGAGTGATTCTGGGTCAAGAACAAGACAGCCAGGGCCCCGCTTGGCGGGGGACGCACGGAGATGCGCTTGCAGTTGCTGGGAAGGACCTAGCATTCTTCATCAGTGGCCAGTCGATTATTTATTAGCTGTCGGTTTTATGGTTTATAACTGGGTGATTGGTAGACATTAGGAGTGGTTTTTGACTGTTGATCTAGAATGGACATGAGGGTGTGTGCGGGTGGTAAGGCAGTCAGGGAGTGACAGGGCAGGAAGGTCATCGAGGAGACTGTGGGGTGGAGAGTGACTAGGCCAGGGGGCAAATGGGGACAGAGTACAGGAAGAGAATCAGGAGGCCTGGGCATCTTGAGCAGTCAAGATCCACACCCTGGACTTGACTATCAGCCTCATGGAAGCAGTAGCCGGAGACTTGGATGTACGAAGAAGCAGTGGGGAGAGGAGGGCAAAAGCTCGAGCCCTGGGTGATGAGCCCCAGGTGTGGGAGGGGAGGAGAACTTCAGCATGGCTGAACCCCAGGGAGGAACATGTTCGGTACATCAGTGCTCAGAGAGCAATTGCCGATAAGGGCCCTGGCTTGCCAGCTGCTGTGGACAGGAGATTTGGTGGCTCCAGATGCTTCACGAAGGCAGAGCCTATGTATGTTTGTCTTGAGTTATATCCCAGCACCTCGTTCTGGGCTCATCGTATGACAAACGCTCCATATGGATTTATGGAAGCGAATATATATTGGGCTTCAGGTAGATGGGAACTTCCCTGAGTCTTTCTGAATCATCTTTAATATAATCTAAGACGGACACTGTTAATTTTGTATACTAATTAACTTGAGAGTCTGTATCATTGGGCACCTGAATGATCCATGGTCTAGAAAGTCTCTAATATCTTTTTCTGAATACCACTTATTACAGTGATATCTTTAAACGTCAGTATCTGAATTTCTCTAAATCAGGTTTCATTTTAATATTTGTCCCCCCAAAAGTATTTTAAACCTTTAAAAAGTCAAGTATACTTAATAAGATATTATTTTATGTATATGCATTAATTATGTAGAAATTTTTTTTGCCTCTAAACTTTGTTTTTACCTTTCCTGATATTTCCCCCAGTACAGATATTATTATACATTTCTTTTTCATTAGAAACCACACAATTGCTTGGTTTCCTGACCAAGGTTTCCAAATAGTTGAAGATTTAACCAACCTAATTTAAAAAACATTTAATGTGGGGGTTTTGTGACTATAAAAGCAATACATGTTTATTGTAGAAATAAAAAATATACCATGTTATAAAGAAAGGAATAAAAAATCACCTGAACTCTCACCATTCAAAGATTTATTTTGTTGATAATTTTGTGTATATCTTTCTAATATAGTTCTCTAGTATATTTTTATATTACCCTTTTTAAAACTTTTTATGTCACAATCATTCCTTTTTAAAACTGTTTTAAATGGCTAAACAGTATTCGAGTGTGTGTGTGTATCAAAACTTATTCCATTAACCTTCTATAAATTGGGCCATCTGTGTTTCTAATTGTTCATTAATATAAATAACACTGTGTTGAAGGTTCTTGCACATCTTTGTGTATATGATATCTGCAGGATAAATTCTTGGAATGGAAGTTCTGGGTTAAAGATATGGATGTTTGTAAAGCTTTTGATGCCTGCTGCAAACTTAGCCTACAGAAATGTACAATTCTCACTCCCACCAGCAGTGAATAAGGCTTTTTCCTCCCACACCATCATCAGCAAAGCTTTGTTGGTTTGACAGATGAAAAATGTATCCTATTGGCTTTTTTCATTTTGTATTCTTTACTAGTGAGATTAAATATTTTTCATGTTTATTGACTATGCTTTTCTTCTTTTGTAAATATCAGTTGCCTAGCCTTTTCTTTAAGTTAAGGTGTTCATTTTTTTAATATTGATTTCCAAGAGCTTTGTTTTTTAACATGAAAAATTTTGAACATATTCAAAGCTGGGCGGACTTGTGTAATGAACCTCCACGTAGTACCCATAGGTGAGCTTTAGCAATTAGGAGTTTATGACCAATTTTTCTTCCCTACTTCCCCTTTCCCCTCCCCCATATTTTAAAGCAAATTCCAGATATCCTCCCATTTCATCCATAAATATTCAGTGTGTAGCTCTAAAGGATGAGGACTAATAGTTTTTCAGTACAGGAAAGGTATTAACATTTTGCTTCTTATATGTGCTGCATATATTTCCCCGCAAGTTTTTGTTTGCATTTTAATTATGTTTATGGCATGTTTTTGCAATGCATAAATTTAGTCAGACTTATACATCATTCTCTTCTGGTTTCCTTCTTTGCCTTGTGCTTATTGGAGGTTAAATGAGATCTAAGATCTTATCTAGCACTAGATGAGATTTCCCCTCCATGTGGTATGATTTATTACAGAAAACACATCAGAGCATTCATAACAGTGCTAAACAGTGAGACAGTGGCAAACATCCTATTTGGTTCTTGTTTTGTTAATGAACGTGATGATCTAACTCTCCAGAGCCCCAAGGTCTTCGTTGTCGCACTTTTCTCCATCCCGAGTCACTACTTCCCGTTCCTTGTTGTTTATGACAGTCCCTCCTCTTCTGTGACTTCCTTCCTGTGGTATTTAAGGAGACCAGGTATCCAAGGTTGGCAGGTTTATCTGTAAGTTTGAGCGAAGAGGCGCTCTGAGCATAGCCTGGAGTTCTTTTATCAGCAGAGCGCACAGACCTGACGGCTCACGTGGTCCTTAGGCCTTTTCCCGTAGTCAGCCCTTCTGAGCGTTAGTGTCCGCTGTGTTCTGGCTGGGGGAGTTGGCTCGGCCGCACTCACGACAGTTTCTCCTTACGCCTGATCTGCTGCCCACGTGAGGCTGAGCCGTGATGTGTGCAGGTGATTGGCCCTGACCAGAATGTGTGTGTGAAACCCCCTCTTCCGCTCAGGCATCCAGCGTCAACGGGACGGACGACGAGAAGGCCTCTCACGCGGGTCCAGCCGACACGCACCTCAAGTCTGAGAATGACAAGCTGAAGATTGCCTTGACGCAGAGGTAAGGGCGGTCTGAAATCCAGGTCCCGTTTCCCCCATGCTCGGCACTTCCTGGCGAGCCTGTCCTGGTGGGCAGGGTTTCTGGAGATTGGAAGGGGAGAAGGGCTTCCTGGCCCCTTCTGTCTGGCCAACCACGTCAGCGTCAGCTGAGTGTACCAGCGTGTCAGTGCGAGAGGTGTGATTGTGTGTGTCGGTGTGTGGTGTGTCCCTGTGCTTAAGCTTGCTTTTGTTTTCCGGGGGGCAGATTTCTCATTATTCACATGTAAGTCTGAGTCTTGGTTGGGCATCTAAGAAAAACATATAAAAACCTAAGAAACTATTAAAAATATGAAATCACACAAAAATCAATGAATGGCTTTCCTATATACAAAAAGTCACATAGAATATATATTTGAAGAAGAGATTTCTTCTACAATATGATCTAGAATCATAAAATACACAGGGATAAACTTAAATGTATAAGATCTACATGAAGCAATCTTTAAAATGATTTTGAGGATCATAAATAAATCATTCAACAAATAGAAAGATACATTCTTTGGCTGAGCACAGTGGCTTACACCTATAATCCCAACACTTTGGGAGGCAACGTGGGAACATCACTTGAGGCTAGGAGCTCAAGACCAGCCTGGGCAACATAACAAGACCCTATTTCTAAAAAAAAAAAAAAAAGCTAGGTGTGGTGGTGCACACCTATAGTCCCAGCTACTTAGGAGGCTGAAGTGGGAGGATCACTTGAGGCCAGGAGTTCAAGGTTACAGTAAGCAGCATCATCATACCACTGCACTCCAGCCTGGGTGACAGTGCAAGATCCTGCCTCTTAAAAAATTAAAAACATATATTCTGTATATTCTATTGAGAAGTGGTTGGAAGCCCTGATATCTTTTTAAAAAAATGTTTCCCTTAAATTGACCTATAAATTTAATACAATCCGTATAATGATGTCAGTAAGATTTTAATTTTTAATGATTGTATGAGCCGTGCTTGGTTTTGTATCTTGAGAACATGGCTCACTTTCCGCAGGCTGCACGTCATGGTGTGGCTGGGCTCATGTGCGCAGTCGGGGCTTTGCGCTCACCAGCCGGGGGTCTGCCCATCCTGCCCAGTCCCCCTGAAACTGTCCTCCCCAGAGCTGCCCGTGTAAGAACTGGATCATCTTAGAAGCTTTGTCACCTCAGGCTTCTATGAAAAAATCCCACAAACTTGGGTGGCTTAGACAACAAACCTTTATTTCTCACAGTTCTGGAAACTGAGTTCCAAGTGACAAAGTAACTCCTTACCCAGGGACACCTAGCTGGTGAATCTTTCCATCACCTTCCCTGCCTGCTTTCCTCTCAAGGCTGCAGTTGCAGTCTCTTCAGGAACCTTCTCAGAGGCAGCCAGTCCCTTGCACAGCTGGCACACAGCTGGCCTGGCCAGTGCTTGGAGCTCAATTCCAGTCACCTGACACGGAGGTTTTGGAAAGCATGTGTGACCCTTAGATCTGACCACCTGCCTTTGGACGGTGGGTCTTTTTCAGGTACTTCAAAGGACACAACTGTGACCAATCTCTTTTCTTACTCATCAGGAAATTGTGAGCTATTTTTGGTGGTTCAAGTCACAATGGGCTGCCTGGATGAAAGCATTTCACCCCTAAAAATAAACGTTTTCAAAGCTAAGTTCAATGAACAGTGAGCTACAGGAATGGGCATGAAGCCGTTTCCCTAAATTAGCTTCAATGCTCAATCATCCACTCTAAAATTCACCAGATAATAACACTTTACTATTTTTTCTGTCAGTGTTTGAAACTGAAACTAAGTATTTCCCACTTGCATTCCTAGGTCCTCGAGGCTAAGGGATGAAAGATAACAGATGATTCAGACACAATTGTGTTTACTTTAAAAAAAAAAAATATGTAAATCCTTTAGAAAGAGGACTCCCCTCTGCCAGGTGTGGACGTCCTGATGGGCTGTCGTGCGCAGCTCTGCCCTGTCACTCAGGTCACAGTGGGCGCCACAGATACCGGGACTCGGAGGCAAGGAAATTAGAGGAGGGTTGAAGGGAATAGTAACTGAGGGAACCTGATTCCAGTTTGTTTGTTTGTTTTGAAATTCTTCCACACTGAGCACGGAGAATAGAAGATAAGGTGCCAGAGGTGTCCCTCAGGCCACCGGTCTCCTCACACCCCTGAGGGGACGTGGGCCAGCCAGGGCTCCCTCACACACCTCGGGGTTAGAGCCCCCGTTCTGCCCACAGTGGTGGACTCCCTGTCACTGCCCCTCTGTCCTCAAGCCCTGGGCTCTCAAGTACGGATTCCTTTAAAGGCTCTGAGGAGGCCCAGGTCACAGTGGGGCTGTTACCACCCTGGAGCCAGGGTGCATGTTCGATTGTTGGTTTAAACCCGGGTCCTTGAGGCGTCCCCGGCCTCCGTGAGATTCTCAAAGGGCCCCTGGGCCAGCCTGGCAACTCAGAGCCTCGGTCCTTGGGAAGGAGCCGGCGTGAAAGGTTCCTTGGCAGCACGTCAGCAGGGACTGGGGTCGGGTCTCCGCCACACTCTGCGGCCTTCACGCTTAGCTCTGTGTCTTCATCCATTAAGAACTCTGTTCTCCTGTAAGGGGATTCTTTAAGGAGCCAGCCGGCAAGGTGATGTGCTCACAGCAGAGGGGGCCAGTCCCTCTTGGCACTTGGTCGGTGCAGCCAGGCCCACCAGCCAGCCCAGTGCGGGAGAGGGGTGGCCCCTGGGCTGGGCTGAGGGGCAGCAGAGTGGTCCTCAGCGCCTGTCCTGCCCTGCAGCGCGGCCAACGTGAAGAAGTGGGAGATCGAGCTGCAGACCCTGCGGGAGAGCAACGCCCGGCTGACCACGGCGCTGCAGGAGTCGGCAGCCAGCGTGGAGCAGTGGAAGCGGCAGTTCTCCATCTGCCGCGACGAGAACGACCGGCTCCGCAACAAGGTGGGCCTCGGTGGGCTGTGGGGGACGGGGCCTCCCATGGTCCTCTCTCACCCCTCTCGCTTGCCCTTGTCCAGAGGCCTTGCTGCCCCTCCGGCGGAACGTCCTCCACCTCCCTGCCCTTCTTGGTAGGCCTGTAACATGCACATAAAGCATTACCTTTCCTGAACCAAGGTGTATGATTCATGCTGCTGAGGCGAAGACAGACAAACTGGAGGTGTCAGCCCTGTCCCTCTCCCAGGGCACCCTGATCCTAGTCGTCGGTTGGCCTCTCACTGTGGGGGCCCTCCCGTGGCACTTCCATTTGGAGAGGAGGGATCCGGGGGCAAGTGAGAAACTAGGTTTGGGAAATGATGAGAAGCATCTGCTTCCCCACAGTCAGCATTTCTAAACACGTCAGCTTGGAAGTCAAGACAGGAACATGGCGCTCGAAGCGTGACAGGCATGGGGGATGGGCGCCTGCTGACCACGCGTGTGCTCTCTGACCTTGACATCCCAGCACTTTGATTTTTTCAAAATTCACCTGTAATTAGTCATTCATGCTCTTTGTCGTTCTGCCGAGTTGAGAAGGTGATTTGGGGGCGGCCACAGACTCCCCCATTGAGGCCTTGAGGCTCTGCACTAACCACGTTCTGATGACGGTAGTCAGTCCCCCAGCTGTGAGTGCATGGAGGTCTGTGCCATCAGGGAGGGTGTCGGGGGGACACGACCCATTAAGATTGGTGTCCACTCCCCTTCAGCCCTGTTTATGACCTGCCCTGCTCAGCTCTGACAGAGCCACTGCAGGCCTCTGTCACACCATCTTGCTTTGGTGCTGGTGGCCCGTAAAACGGGCTTGTGTCACTTTTACATCTCCATGCGGGAAGTGCTGACAGTCGGGGCACCAGGCCAGTTGCTGACTTTGCACGTTCCCATCCCAGGCCTGGCAGAGCTGCCTGCCAGAGGGGGACTGATGGCCCTCTCTTTCATTTTTCAAGCAAAGAGCTGAGTTTCTTGCTGGGGCCTGAGCATCAGGACCAAAGGCAGTGCGGGCAGCGGAGCAAGAGCAAAGCAGGGAGCCTGCCCCCTGAGGGTTGGCGCAGGCTGCAGTGCTCTGGTGCCACACGTGGGTCCACTCCTGCTGTCCACTCTGCACACACGTTTTGGCCCCCAGGAAGTGCCCAGCATCTAACGGCAGTGTCAGGGTGTCTCACCCCACACGGGTGACCCTTTTGAGGGCTTAGACTTGGGGAGGAGGGAGAGGTGCAGTCTGGGCATTTGCCTTTCAGCCGTGAGAGGCGGCCACAGGCCAGGCCCCTTCTGTGCATATAAGTAGGGGAAGGTCATCTCGATTTAGAGTGTTTGAAATGTCATGGCTTCCCACTTGGCAGCCACGCCCCACAGAGTAGCTCGGTTGTCTACGCTGCCGGCTTAAATCCTTAAGATGAAACAGAATAATTCAGGACGTGATTAGAGTGATCTAAACATCATTCTGGGGATAAGCAGATGAATTCGGGGGCCATCTGGCTCTAGCCTGAGACAGATCCATACAGCAAACTAAGGTTACTCCTGTGGCCGTGAGAGAAACCAGGAGCCCAGAGCGTCCTGCAGCCGGGTGTCACTACCGACTCGGCCGGTATCAAGCAAGGTGTCCCGTGCACATGAGGGCAAATGGCCCCGTGCGGGGAGTTTATCCCTAGCCACAAAGAAATATCCATGAGTGGATTCGTGTATGGCTTGTTTTAAAAGAAAGCACGAACGTAGCTGTGCTGAGCCCTCTTTAGCAACTGCGGCAAACTGATGCGCGGTGTCCCTTAGATTGACGAGCTCGAAGAGCAGTGCGGCGAGATCAACAGGGAGAAGGAGAAGAACTCCCAGCTGAAGAGGAGGATCGAGGAGCTGGAGGCAGAACTCCGAGAAAAGGAGACGGTGAGTGACGCTGCTCTGGGCACAGCCCCTGGCATCCTGTGGGCCTTGGGAGGTGACCTCCACCCAGGGACGGAGCAGGTGGCTTGGGGCATGTGACCAGCCCTGGCAGCTGCCTGGATGTTGGCACAGAGAGCACCCGGAGCCGCCCCGAAGTGCAGCTGTGGCAGGGCAGAGGCGTCGTGGTCACCCGGCAGCGTCCTCGTCGCAGTGTTACGTGGTCAGTCGCTCAGGCCTCAGAGGGCGCTACGTTTGGTAGGACACTCGGTCACTTCTGCGGGTCACCTGTCAGCAGCGGAGTCCTGCTGGCCAGTCAGGGCCTCGAGGGCCCCAGCCACACAGCCATGTGTTTTCTGTGGGCAGCACAGTTAAGTACACACATGTTGCAGACCATGGGCAAATTACTGAACCTCTCTAGGCCTCAGTTTCCCCATCTAGAAATGGGAATCATAAGAACATCTGCCTTTTTATGTCGGTTTGTGGATTTCATGCGCTAACGCACGTCACGTGGCCCCTGGGATTACCCGATGTTTAAGTGTCAGCATTGTCACCTACTGTCATTTGTGCAAACGGGACAGGTCCCAAAAGCCCCTTCCATTAGGGTGTGCCGGGTCCATGACGATCAAGAGCACGTTTTATCTGACTTGCCGCCATGTTCTCTCTCTAATTCGTGTCTCCCATAGGAGTTGAAAGATCTCCGCAAACAAAGCGAAATCATACCTCAGCTCATGTCGGAGTGCGACTATGTCTCTGAGAAGCTAGAGGTGAGCAGAGGGTGGGGGCGCGGCCGTCCGGCTCAGACTGGAGGCAGTCGTCGTGTTACTCGCTTCTCTGCCGCCTCTCGCTTTCGCTCCTGGGATGGGGAAGAAGCGCAATTTTCTACTCATGAAGAGCTGGCGGTGACTGCACGCCAGATGGCATTGCGGGCCACCCATGTCCCGGGGGCAGGCTCAGTGGCATTTGTCTTTTGGGTTTTCCACTTGAACGAAGCTGTCCTGTGTATAACCATAGTAGGCGACAGTTTCCCACCCACAGAAAGTCCCGGCAGAGCCTCGGGAGCAGGGGGCGGGATGGTGGGAGTCCACCTTGGCTGTTCCCAGCCGCTGACCTTGGGCGCTGACCTTGGGCAGGCCTTCCTCCCTGGCCTCAGATTTCTGATCCATCAAATGAGGGTTTCCAGTTCCCTCTGCCCCTCTGTGGGTCTCCTCCCTTCAGGCCCTTCAGCACCCCCAAGAGCACAATGGAACCCAGCGTGGGAACTGCTTCCTGTGCACGGGTCCCAAAAGCCTCAGTTTATGCCCACAAAAAAACCCTCAGTTGACACGAAGACTGGGAGGCAGAGGTCACTTACGGCCTCACCGCTGTCCTGTCTGCTGTGTTTGATTTACCTGGACAAGCCTCGGCTGGCTTGTGGGGCCGACTCCACAGAACATCTCCATGGTAACAGCATGGAGGGCACTGACTGGCCGTCCCGAGTCGCTCCGTGGCCAGGGCTCCCTCACCAAGGGCTGGCGGCCAGCCCCTGGGGCTGAGAAAGCCTCGCTTCTCCGTGGGAGCGGGAGGGCAGGGCCCTTTCCCGTCTGCTCTGTCCCTGTCAGGATGGAACTGAAAGGTGACGTCTGGTTCCTACTTTCTCTGCTGGGCCCTTCGCCAGGGCTCCCTCCAGCAGGACCCCGCGTTCTCGAGTCTGTCCTGGGGTTTCGGGCCAGGTGTGGGTCGCACGCTCGGCCGGCCGTGAGAGGACAGGAAAGGAGGAGTACAGCCAAGTGCGCTCAGCTTCCCTGACGTCATCGCAGGCTCGTGTGTTGGGCTTCACGTGTCCCCAGGGAGCCTCGGCTCCTGGTGGCCAGTGACGGGCTCTGCTCTAGCGGGTGTTGTGGACGACTCCCACCGCCGCCCTGTTTTCCAGAGCCTTCTCCCTCCTGTCTTCCCAGGCGGCGGAGCGAGACAACCAGAACCTGGAAGACAAAGTGCGCTCTCTGAAGACGGACATTGAGGAGAGTAAGTACCGGCAGCGCCACCTGAAGGTGGAGCTCAAGAGCTTCCTGGAGGTGCTGGACGGCAAGATCGACGACCTGCACGACTTCCGCCGCGGCCTCTCCAAGCTGGGCACCGACAACTAGAGCCGCCAGGAGCCCCGAGTGCGCCGCCAGGAGCCCCGCCCGGGACGTCCCTGTCGTGTCACTTCGTGGCCGCCCGCTCCTCCTCTCCGGCGCAGACGGCTCCTCTCGCTTCTCGGCCTCGTGAGGCTGTGGACGCCCGCAAGGTTCTGACTCAGGAATCCAGAACTAGGTCTACCTTAACCACTTACGCAGTCAGGGCAGGGATGTTTCTATCTTTCCTAAGGGCTGTTGCAACCATAGGAACTGGGGGGAAAAAAGTATTTTCTAATCCAAATATCAATATTCTTCACACCAGGCCACATGGCTCCTTTTGTCACATGGCATTCAGAGTCCCCGAACGGCCACCGAGGCCAGTCCCTGAGGCTGGAGGGAGCAACGTCCCTCTCGGTGAGCGCTGAGATGCTTTAAAACAACCCTTTGGTCGAGTCTCAGCCAGAGAAAGAGAACAAGCTGCTGGCGGGTGAGTTTCTGGCATGGTGACCGCCTGCATCCACCGCGCTTGCCAGTTCAAATGGTTGCGATGATGTCCCTTTTCTTGGTTTTAATTTCTAGGCAGATGATTGTGCTGTGAGAACAGCACCCAGCGAGGGGCCTGGCACGGTGCCTGGCACAAAGTAGGTGCTTAATAAATATTTGTTCAGTTAAACATAGAAACAGAACTTAGTGTTTTAATCCAACCCCACAACAGAATTCAAACCCCCGTTGGGTGATGCTCTGCCCCTGGGGGTCTGTGACCCTGGAACCGCCTTCTCCAGACAGGGAGGCCTATGGCCGCACGATTCCAGGGCCACCGGCTGTCCCTGGTATAGGGGCTGCCTAGGGATTGGGATCTAGGGTGGGATCCTATTACGGTTCGCACAGTTGAGAAGAAATCACACAGGCCCATGAGGGGGAGAACGCGGCTGGCTGGCCTTGGCCTTCGCAGCAGAGAGACCCTGCCCACCTCCGCCCCGCCTTTCTGTCTCGGTTCCTGCTAAGGAAGGGACTGGAGCCAGGAACCCTCTGCTCTGACAGAGCTGCTTAGTGGGGCCAGCGGGCATGCGGGTGCTGCTGGCGTCCCCGTTAGGAGGGAGTGGCTGTGCACGGCACGAGGTCTGGATCCTTGGCCCTGCGCGTTTCTAAATGCCTTGGGCAGGGGAGGCCTTGGTGCCCCCTTACCCCTTTGAGAACCACCTAAGAGAACTTCTCCCTCTGGAAACATTTTCTCACATGGACGGGTTAGGGTTTGGCAGCCTGCGGGGAGGGGTCTACGCAGGCCTGACCCAGGTCCCAGGGTGAGCGTGCAAGTCCTGCTGCTCTGCTTCCCCACGCTAGGACAGCTCTCTGAGCTGGGAAGTCCTGTTTGGGATGGGGATAGAAGGGAAGGCTGTGACCTGCAGCACCAGAGCACTTTAGGGGAGACCCTGCAGGCGGGATGGGGGGCTTTGGTCGAATACACGGGGCTCTTGGCAGGTAGGAAATGAACGCGTGGTCTGGCCTCTAGCTGATTCGAGCTAGGGCGCTGCTGGACCTGCCGTTTCCCCAGAGCGCCATGTGGCTCTTGGGACAGTTGGTAGCAGCTCCCTGCTGGCTGTGCCAGGAGACCAGAGAGCTGGCCTGGCCCAGAGTTGGCCCCATGGCCCAGGAGGGAACAGAGGGGCTGCTTCTCGATCCAGCCTGGCCCACCTGTCCATGGACTGGGCAGGAGCAGGAGATGCTGGATCCAGACACCCTCAGCTTTGGGTCTTTAGGTGGCCTCCACCTCTGTTAGGTGACTTCTTAGTCTAGAAGGAGCCATCTTGACTGACCAGAGCACGCTCAGGTGACGTATTCATCGTAGGATAATTGCTAAAGCCACTTACGCATCCCAGTATCAGCGACTTCAGAAAACCACAGAAGTGGAAGCGTAGGAAAGTGGGAGGAGCCGCCGCCACCGAGGGCTACTGTGAGGTGGAGACCCCTGGTCCCCGCTCACCAGCCACTGCAGAGCTTGTGAGCATCTTGCCGGCAGCAGGTGAGGACGTAGATTCCTCGCCCCCTGCGCCCAGCTCTGAAACTCGCAGCCCCAGAGCCGAGAGTCGCAGGGACTCCTTCATGGGGAAGGTGACTTGGGTCTGGCAGCGAGAGCACCGCCTTACGAAAGCACTGAACTCCCCATCCTTCTGCTTTTCTCTGGAGATCTTAGTGTTTCTTCATTTTCTTTTAAAAATAGTAATGATGATAATGGCCCAGGAACAACCTAGGCAGGCAGTCGGAGACTGGCCCTCTCTGATAGCCTCTAGGGCTGTGAACGGTGGACTCGATTCGGTGAAAATGTCCCGCTGGATTTATCCTGGGGTTCACCTGGGCCGGTGGGACACGCCCTAGTGCATTCCCACGTCCAGCCCCATCTCAGTGCCGCGGTGTGTGCGGGCGGGGCGCAAGCCCTTCCCTCGTCGCTCCCCCCAGGAGGTGTAGCCAGGGCTGCGTTTCAGTTTCCAGGTCGGGTCTCCCAGTTTTTGACATTTCCAAGACTGGCTTTCTGTCCCTCGGTGGGGCTGCTTTTCTGCATCTGGGAAACCTGGGGCGTAAAACTCACCAATGAAAACTTGGAACCTCTTTACACATGAGGTAAAGACCCGACTGGCTGCATTTTAAAGTGGTCAGCTGTGCGGTCCCTCGGTTTCATCTCTGCTGCGGGCGGTCACTTTAGACCTTATTCGGGTGAGAGGACTGGGCAGAGATTGTTACCCAGGTTTTGCAGACGGGAAGTAGAGACAGAGAAAGTGACGTACCCAGGGTGACCCAACTGTGACCAGTAGTGCGGGCTCTGCATCCAGATGTCCCGGGCCTTGGTACAGTGTCTTTCTGAGCCAGATCGCTGTTCCCTTTTTGGTGACCCTTGGGTGCCGAGAGAAAAAACATTCTTATGTATCCTGATAGGAGCACATTGCAATTATATCATTTTAACGTGTGTCCATAGCAAAGAGCAATTCACAAAGGCATGATCAGAATTACCTCTAGGAATGTTCATTATAAACAGTTCCATTTTTGAATAATTCTGGTTTTGCAGGGATCTCTCCAAGAGGGTTGATTAAAATGACCGTGCTCTGCGAGGAGGCCGGTTGTGTGGAACACAAATCCACCTGGAGTTCTGTATTGATGGCTTTAGCGGAGGCAGAGCAATTTGTTCCAAACGAGCGGGAGGCCCTGAGATTGCAGGACACAAACGGAGCCCGGCTGGGAGGCGGCCTGTCCGCTGCCCGCCGCCTTCCTGGAGCTGAGCTCTTCCTGGGGAGGGAGGAGGCTCGCCCGGTGGGTGGAGCGGGTTCAATGGAACCCAACCAGCACCCAGGATGACTGTCCACAGAGGATGGTTGTCCCCGCCTGCGGGCTCTGTGCACACAGCCTCATAGTGGTGGCCGACAGACCCTGGCTGGTGTGGACTGTTTTCATGAAACATCAAACGAAGGGTGGAACATAACACAGTTCATGCGCTGCCCAGAAGCCTCCCTCTCTGTAGAAACCAGCACAACTTTGGACATCAGCCAACCGTGGGGTGTGCCGGGGACCTTACAGTGTGTCCTCACACATGGCCAGGTGCACCCTTAGAAAAAAAGCAGCTGGCATGTGACTCAGTGCAGGCACTTGGTGGCGCCGCCACTGTCCGCTAACTACCCAGAGTGGGCTGTGTGTGCCATTCTTCCCTCTAGAAGTTATGATTCTTCTACTCCCTTGCAATGCCACTGGGTTTGAAGCACTTGCAAACTAGAAGCTTGTAGATCGATGTCCATATGTATTTTCAAACGATGTGCATGGTTGAAAAGGGCCCTGATTTCTGAGTATGTGGCTTCCCCAGAGAAACAGCATATGTTCTGGTAATGGTGGCGGTACCGGCATGGAGAGGGACTCCTTTCTAGAAATGTGTGATTTGCATGTCTCTTCCGTGTACCTATGTCAAAAATATGGGTTTTCTGGTTGACCGGGCAAGCAAGAAGGTGACTTTGATAATTTTGAGCGGGATGAAATGTTCTGGTGAGCCTAGGACTGCATATGTGTGCTGGGGAGGAGGGAGCACGGGGAGGTGGGAGCAACGGTGAGGAAGAGTTTTTAATAACATATATGTAGACCTAAGAGGAGAACTTATTTTCATATGTCTGGTGGTGGCATTCTGTGTTCTGGAATCCAGTAGCGAGGAGAGCGTGCGGGTCTGTGTTCGCGGTGGAATCGTGCCGCGCCTGTGCTCTCCTACGGCTCAGAGCCCCTGCGGTGGCCTCCTGGGCCCCAGCAGCCCCGGCACAGAGTCCCAGCTGGTGTACCTTTTGGCAGGTGACTGGCAGGACTGACAACGCGCAACTGTCCGGGGGTGTTCCTGTTCTTACCCTGTTGTTGCACTTTCAATAGAAGGTCTTGACTTTACATCATTTGTAGCGATGTCTTGTGATGTGACAGGCAGGAAGACATTTCTTGCATCAAATGATATATAAAAGTATGGGGTGGATAAGTGGAGTCTCCCAAGAGTACTGGGTTTCCTTTTCCCCTTTTTTTAAAAATGGTTTTTAGTACATAAATAATATATACCTTTTTTTAAAAAAAGAAACTGCAGATGAGTGGAAAGAAAAAAACCACCTGTTATTACACCATCTGATTATAACCACTGTTAACATGTCAGTATATATATCTTTCAGACATTTTTCTATGCATCTCTATTTGTTTTATTTTTCCATGAAATATACATACTGTTTTATAACTTGCTTTTTCCCCTTTAAAGGCTATGTTGTGAATGTGTTTCTATATTAGTAAATATGTAATTACATCATTTTTAACATCTATGTAGGTCATACCTTGGATACTTAGTTTCCAGCTTTTCACTGTTGTAGTCAAGGACACGATGAAATTCTTCTAACATTTTTTGTGAACTTTTCAGACTGTTTACTTAGGATAACTTTCTATAATTGGACTTGCTGGCTCCAAAGAATGCCCCTTTGTATGTGCAGCTCCTTTCCTTCCTGGGCATACGGGAGACTTCACTCTCCAGCCGCTGTAGGCGTTCTGGGTACAGCGATCAATGACACGTGAGCAGAGGTGACATGGCACTCCAGGCTGAGACTGTGAAGTGACCATGTGCAGTTGTGCAAGTGTCTGTGTCCCCTTTTCTCAGCAAATGGTTACGTCCTAGGGGTGGAGTCTCAGCCTGGGTCCCTGAGTGACCTTGTGGAGCAGACAGCTCCCCTCCTCCCTTCACGTCACCCTTGCCCTCCACCCTGCATGGACATGTAGCATGAACAAAGAATAAACCTTGAGTGTTTCACTGAGATTCTAGGGTTAATTTGTTACTGCAGCATAAAGTATCCTATCCTAACTAACAATAAAAAAGGTATGTATATTTTTAGGACTTTTAGTATCTATTTCCCCAAATTGCCTTCCAGAAAGATGGTCCCAAATCATACTCCCACTAGCAGTGTCTGAGAGTGCCCTGCTTCCTCTGTAACACTGGTGTTACCACAGGGGCAGGGAGCTAAAAAAAAAAAAAAAATAATTTTGTTATTAAAATGTGACCCTCACTAGCAAAAATACTTATTTAACTCTATGTTTTGTAGTTTCCCTATTCATTGCCTCTAGTTGTTTTTCTCATAAGGTATTTAGCAGTTTTATTGATTTCTATGAGGTTTATTTTATAAATATTGTAAAA